GAAAAAAGAATGGGGAGGAAGGAGAAACTAGCAGGACGCTCAGTATTTCAGAGGAACTGCCTAGAAAGTAACTCTGGTTGGCTATGAACTTTTGTTTCCTATGTCTCACCCCCAGGTAGTTCATATAAAAAAACAATTTCTAAAATGAGTGGTCTGGGGCTGGGGATGTGGCTCAAGCGGTAGCGCGCTCGCCTGGCAAGCGTGCAACCCGGGTTCAATCCTCAGCACCACATACCAACAAAGATGTTGTGTCCACCGAGAACTATAAAATAAATATTAAAAATTTCTCTCTCTCTCCTCTCTCACTCTCTCCTTAAAAAAAATTTTAAAAAAATAAAATAAAAAAATAAAATGAGTGGTCTGTATGATATATGATTCATACATCAGTGAAACATTTAGACTGATTAAAATCAAGAGTAAACCAAAATTATAGTTTAATATTATCTTTGAATATTTTCTTTTGAAAACAACTTTTAAACAAACCAAATAACAAAGAAAATAAAATTAATTGAATGCTTCATATATTAAATACTTACTGAGTACAATGATAGCCTCGAACCTCAGGCTTTGGTTGGTGTTTCTTTAGGTGCTTGCTGAGTCCAGAGCCCCTGTGAAAAGACTTTCCACAAACTGAGCAAAAGTACTTGGATTCTCCTGTTAAAAAAAAAAAATCATGCCACATATACAACAATCAGGTCTTTCTTCAACACAAGTCTATATATGTCATATTTCAGAAGTTGTTTTATTAAGGGGGGTATGAAACCATTAACATTTGGTAAGGATTTTATAAAAAGTTTGTCAAAACCTCTACTACCTCTCAAATCTACAGAACTGTCATGCGGTTCTATAGTACATGTAGACTAAGAATTCTAATAAAATTATAAGCCATCTACCATATTGACATTTACATCCATGTATCATTTAGGTTTTTAAAAGCATGACCATTTCATTGACACTAAATATACATTTTTCTACACCAAAACAATGATCATTTTTACACACATAAGATAGCTTTGTAACTAGACTGAAAAAAATCTTTTTAACTTTATTGTCCAAATTTTTAAAAACTGCACACATACAACCATCAGTATCTCAATGTAATTCCTGGTACAATTAAGGCATAATCAATATAATAGCAAATTAAAGCATATATAATGTACCAATGTTAATATAAATTTCTCATTACCTGTGTGAATACTCATATGTTCTTGAAGACTCCGTTTGGTAACAAATGACTTAACACATAGTTCACACTGGAATTGCTTTTGTGATTGATGGAGACTCTGATGTAATTTCAGACCATGTTTATAGATAAAAGTCTTTCCACAGACCTAATATAGGAGTGTTCATGTCAGTAAAACAAAAAAAGAGATAGGTGCTGTTTCTAAAGAATAATAGAGAAACTAATACAATGTGTCAAATCTTAATTTAATTAAAAATATAAGCAAAATGAAAAAGTAAAAGTTGAAATCTCAAATGCCAAAGACATTAGCTCATACAGCCCTTTTCTGATTCAGTATTTAATAAAATATTGATGTCATCTTTCTTAAATCTCCAGTGTGACCACTAGAGAGCTTAAAAAAGTACCAAAAAAATTTGTGCTATCCTTGTGAGATTGGTAAACAGTATACATTAAATTTAAGAAACACGGAAGTCTAATTAAGAATAATACATTCGGGGCTGGAGTTTGTAGCTCAGTGGTGGAGCACTTAGCCTAGCATATGTGAGGCTCTGGATTCAATCGTCAGCACCACATAAAATAATAAATAAATAAAGGTGTTGTGTCCATTTCTATCTTAAAAAAAAAAAAAGAACGATACATTCACTGGGGGCATAGTGGCATACACCTGTAACCCCAGCAACTCGGGAGGCTGAGGCAGGAGGATCTAGTTCGAAGCTATTCTCATCAACTAGTTCGAAGCTATTCTCATCAACTTAGCAGGGCTCTAAAGCAATTTAGCGAGACTCAGTCTCTAAGTGAAAAAAAATACATAAAAAGGACTGGGAATGTGGCTCAGTGGTTAAGTGCTGCTGGCTTCAATTCCCAGTACAAAAAAAATTAAACAAACAACAATAACAATAAAAACATACTACTTTCATTTCCTCCTATACCAAACAAAATAATGCCTTTTTTTTTTTTGTGATGAAGAACCAATATTTTTTCTTTCCCCAATCCACTAGGGAGGCATTTTTGTTAAAATATTACAAAAATGTCAAAACAATATCAAATTATCTATACATTTCTACTCTTTACTCTCTAATTCTGTACCTTTTTTCCGTGGTCACACATTTTGAGTAGTGTTACAATAGAAGACAAGAGGCCCAACTAATACTTGATATTTAAATTTGTAAATGATTTTTAGCACTTGAATTCAAAGTAACTGGGTTAGCAGGGAGAAGAACAGTGACAGTATGAATAAAACAGACTTGACCATGAGCTGATAATAAAGTATGATGATGGGTACATGAGGATTCACCTCATTTTCTTTTTATTTTACTTTACTGGTACCAGGCATATCGATGCTGGGTGCTTTACACTGAGCTACACCCATCCCAAGTCCTTTTTTCTTTTAATTTTTATTTTGAGACAGGGTCTCGCCAAATTTCTCAGGCTGGTTTGAACTTTTGATCCTACTGACTCAGCCTTGAGAGTTGCTGGGATTACAGGAATGTACTACCATCCCTAGCTGTTCATTTCATTTTCTTGTACTCTGCTTTCATATAATAAAAAGCTTAAGAAAAAAGAAATAATGAAAATTTTAATGGTTCAAAATCATTCAATAATAAAAAATAATGGGTCATGCTTACATACAGAACAGCAAATGTTACTAGAAACTTCACTGTTCCAAATGGCACAAAGCTGACTAACCATGGGATTCTTTTATCTAGGAGTCATATTTTGATATTTAGATACCCTCAATCCTCAACAACAGGGAAGAATTAATATCTTGGGCAGAACTTTTTCTAACCAAGGAGATTTGTTTAAGCCATCAGTTTTATTGATTGATTGATTGATTGTAGGTGAACAGCATGCCTTTATTGTATTGTTTTTATTTCTTTATGTGGTGCTAAGGATAGAATCCAGTGCCTCATATGTGCTAGGCTAGCACTTTGCCACTTAGCTACAGCCCCAGCCCTGTGTCATCAGCTCCTTTTTAGTCCAAGTTGGTCCTATAGGGCTAAGGGATGATTAGGGTGATGAATCGGCTAATCTCACCCAGCAGATCCTCCAGATCCTAATAAATTTCACAAACATCTTAAATGAATTTCTTTCAAATGACAACTTTAAAGAATAAATTACAGAATACAATATGGAATCACCCTTAATCTTGGCAATTTAGGAAAATATACATCTTTCCTGACATTTTACAAGTGTAAAATGACTCTAGAATACACATTGACCAGACTCATCACCATAGTTCATTTTCAGCATTCTTTAAATAATAAATAAATGTCATGGCTTTACCTGACATGCATGTGGCTTTACACCTGTGTGCTTTAACATATGTATTCGGAGAGAATATAATTTAGGTAATGTCCTTCCACATATGGAACAAATAAATTCTCGTTTGGTTCTGCCCTTCTCAGATGATGTTCCTGAAGCTTCATTAGATGTGGAATTGGATGATGATGATGCTGGTGCATCTTTTCTGGTATGTCGAATAAGGTGTGCTCGCAATGAGGCACTGTACTGGAACTGTTTTTTACATAACTAAAAGAAAAAGTAAAAAAAATTCTGTCTAAATATATTTCCATTAAAAAAATATCAAACAAAACAACTTATTCAACCTTCTATTTCTGATTATAATCATTCAATTATAAACAAATATTGGGCAAAAGACAATATGCTAGGTACCAGATTATAATGATGAAAGATCCACATATAACTAAGAACCTACTTTGGGGGAAGTTTAAAATCTAACTATAGCACAAAATATGTATCTTTAAAAATTCAGAATTTAAGATAAAGGAATAATCAGAGCAAATGAGGAAAGACTGGACTTAAGTTAGATCTTAAAGAAATAGCAGAATATGGACAGATGGAATATCATCACAATATGAATGAACAGCAGAAATAGAGGCTGAAAAAAGTAAAAAGATTAAGACAGTGATGGTCTTTGAATTTTATCTTGCAGTTGATGGGGAGTCATGAAAATTTTTGTTTTTGTAAAAATTAAAGTTATATATATAGCCTTATCACCTATGAAACTTTTTCTTTTATTGGAAGCATGGGGGATTAAATCCAGGGGCACTTTATCACAAAGTTATATCCCCAGGCCTTTTTATTTTGAGATAGGGTCTCATCAAGTTGCTGAGCCTAGCCTCAAACTTGCAAACCTACTGCTTCAGCCTCTTAAGTATCTGGGATCATGATTTAGCCAGGGTGGGAATGGAAACAGAACCCAGGTCTTGCACAGCATAGGCAAGCACTCTACCACTGAAAAATACTCCCAGTCCAAAACTTTTTTTTTTTTTTTACTAGGGATGGAATCCAGAGGTACTTTACCATTGAGCTACATCACCAGCCCTTTTTATGTTTTGACACAAGGTCTTCTTGCCAAGTTGCTAAGGTTGGTCTGGAACTTGCAAGCCTACTGCCTCAACTTCCTAAATTGCTGGGATTACAGGCATGCACCACCATGCCCGGCTCAAAACTTTATCTATCTATCTATCTATCTATCTATCTATCTATCTATCTATCTATCTATCAATCATCTATTTATTTATGTATGTATTTTGGTGCTGGGGATTGAACCTAGGGGCGCTAAACCACTGACAGCAAACCCAGCCTTCTTTTTTTTTTTTTTTGAGAGAGAGAGAATTTTTAATATTTATTTTTTAGTTCTCAGCGGACACAACATCGTTGTTGGTATGTGGTGCTGAGGATCGAACCC